TTTGACATTAAGCTTCTTGTTAGCCTGAAACCGGTTTTCTTCTAGAAACACCCTGAATTTACCTCAGACCAGATTCCCTGACAACGCTCTGGTAGAGGTTGGTTCCCAAACTTCAGTAGCCTTTCTTCCAAACAAAGAAGGGTAAATATGGAGCTGTGGCCCCTGAACTTTTTGCAACAAAGACTGGTTTAATGGCTTAACTCTTATTTTCTCTGATTATAATAATAATAGGATCTTATTCGCTGGACCATTTCTCTTTTCTAAAGACGTTTGCTTTTCACTCTGTTTTGCTAGCTTGGGGATTTAATGGCAATATAAGTACAGTCAATTTTTCAAAATAAAACACCAGTCAGACATAGTGTAACGTATTTGATCTTTTTGTGCAGCCTGGATCTCAGTTTTAGTTGTATTGTTTTATATAGGGGTTAAGACTTTAATGCTTTAATTTTGATTAAATAATTATGATTTAAACACGTTGGAAAAATGTAGGCAATTAACTGCATTTTTGTTTTTACGTTTATACTCAAGTACTGAGTGGGGACCTCTGTATTCGCTGTTTCTTGCGCAACTTTAAATCTGAAACAAGCAGCATCCCAAAGCGATGGTCCATGGTGGGTGTTCAAACTTTAAAACGCTCGCAGTGGTAGTCATAGCGACCGAAGATACGGCACAAATGACGAGCCTCAGAGCAAACATACATAAATCAATGTCTGAAAAATGCAAACTCAGATTTAACTCCATCAGGGCACCAATATATCAAAAGGATGAGTTCAAGCTAGTTCTCTACGCTCATTGCTTCTTTGTACTTTAAGGTTGAAACTAACGTGATTAGTTACTTTGAAGATATTTTTTACTTTTGCCAAGCAGCATTAAATGTTTGGAAAATATCAGCCGAACATTAGCGTTAATGTTCGCTGATCGTCGTCCTCTGCGCTCTTTCATTTCAGTCTAGAAAGTGTTTTTGCTTTCATTTCTTTGAGTTGCAGTAAAAAAAAAATTAAGATATTTTTGAGCAAGAAAGAGCAAGACAGTTTCTAAACTGTTTAGCCACAGTTCAGCACGAAAATATTTTAGTGGAGTAATAAAGATCAGAGCTCGCTCTCTTTTTTTTCCCCAAAAATATATTTATAAAAATTTTAGCAGTTTAAACAAACACCTTGAACAATATACAAAATATGATGACAGCAAAAGTAGCGTTACTGTTCAAGTCAAAATAAAATACAGACACAATATTGGTTCCGATGCGACTGACCACATTTCGTGCTTAAACTCTTATACTGAGAATTAAATTTGACAGTATATGTCCTGAGCTTGCTCTCTTTTAATTGTAAATTTAAAAAAAAAAATCCATCCTCCTGGCTTCTTAAAGCCTGTGGAGTTTAATCCCTTTATATTTATAAATTTTTTCATATGTTGACAGCTCTGAAGGAGTTAAGATCACGGCTTGCACTATCCGCATAGCGGTGTTAGTAAAAGTCAGGCTATAACGACAAAAAGATGATTGTTTTGAAACCATCAGTAAATAATAAAATTAAAATAGTTTATTTGCTTACAACAACGTCTTCTTCCCTGGCAGTCTCCACAGCAACGTTTTGTGTACCCTGGATTTTTTCCTGAAACCCTGAAAAAAAAATACATGCATTCTAGTTTTACTGACTGTATATTTCTATACCAACTCCTTTGAAGGTGAAACAGAGGAGTGAAGCATAAACATTCAAAGCACCAAACCTTTGACAGTGTTACAGTGAGCATAGTATTTTAGTCTTGCTTAATCTAATGCAGAGCAGCGCTGTGGCCTCCTCGGATTCGAAGACTCCTTTCTAGCTTTGGGTATCCCGTGATTTATTAGAAAAACAGGCAAGTCAGCTGCTTCATGCTCAGAGGAAAAACGGACGGACAGTGGTGGATGTTGTAAGTGTGGTTTAATATATAACAATTATGTGAATAGGCTCGTCCTAAACTAATGAAAATGGTTCATTTAAATCCTTAGTGAGTCAGATATGTCAGGGGTATATTTAGTTAGCAAATGGGTTTGACTGATATTTAAGCACAGATTAAAATCTCTCCGAGATGACTGTACTGCTGCTGAAGCTCAGCATCTATTCTTTGCTAGCTGAGAGGACTAGACCTGGTCTAATCTATGAGCGAACCTGAACACAGACTCAAGCAACCCGACAGTTGACTCACAAACTAGCAAAAGAATGGGTACCGAACTTCTCACTACTGTTCTGTGTGCCAATTTCATTTTTGAGATTTTGTCATGTGATTCATCAAGCATGATATAGCCCTCATGCTGAAACATAGGACCATCTTCAGAAACTTGAAAGTAATCCCTATCGTCTAAAAAAAAATCAAATTTCCTTTTTACAGTAAGAAGTTAATGCCGCCAAAGAGTGGTTCTGGAAAACTGCATAAAAATGTTCAGCCATTGTCAATGAGAGCTCAGGCTAAGTGATACTAACTTTTCCACATTATAGAACAGAAATAAGTTTGCTGCACAAAACTTGCAACAGAAACCGAGAAGTCTTTGACCTAAACGAGCAGCACAGCCGCCACAATCTTGTCTCACCGAAGCTCAGTAGGCAGCAAAACTTTCCAGCCCTAAAGCCACTAAGCATATGGTTGGTAAAAATGGAACAAAAACATAAATTACTCACAGAACAAATTTGATCCAAAGATTTCAACAATGGTGAGTGTCTAGACTATCAAAGAGGAGGAGGATCTTTTATAAATCTCTTTGCATTGCTGCACACACACCAGAAATGGGGAGATTTAGCAGGAGGTAATACCAAAAATAAAATTAAATATATGCTTTTGTTGTTTAAGTGTAACTTGAATTGCTTTGTGCAACTTTTAATTTAGTAATGTACGATAATACTTTTATAAAAATGTACCCAATGCTGGAATAGATGCAGGAACAGGAATGAAAAAAAAATTATTTGTGGTTTGTTTCTAAGTTAAGTAAAGAGTATAATTTCCTGAATTGGTTAAAATGTAAAAAGCAGTTTTATATTTTGTTTTGGACGAGGGCAGACAAAGAAAAAACGAAACATGAAACATGAAGCTTTTAAAGATGACAACCCTGTCCTCCTGATTTTTATTTTTTTTTTATGGAAATTGCTCCACTGAAACTTTTTGTAATAACAGGACTAGATTATATATATCGGGGCCTGAACCCATTAACGCACATTTTTATTAAGAATGCTCCATCAAAACTTGCCGGCCCTGCAATGAGCTTTGTATGGCGAGGCTTTTGTGGGACACTGAAATTAATATGCAACCATGACTCTTCATGCAACCACATTAATTCTATGGGATTATTCAGGAATTTGGTTGAGTATGCTCACAGGATGTTGAAAATCACATAACTTTCTTTTTTTCCCCATCAACATTAATTCAATTCAGTTTATTTCCAATTCACAACACATGTCACCTCAATGCAATCCCTCACACTAAGCATGCTTGCAGCGACAGTGGAGAGGAAAATCTCCCTTTTAACAGGAAGAAACTTCCAGCAGAACCAGGCTCAGTGTGAGCGGCCATCTGCCGAGGCCGACTGGGGTTCAAGGAGACAGATCACAATGATCAGCCCAATCCGAATCAAAAAACCGAACACTCAACACAACACAGGGCAGCTTCCCATCAGCTGCGACCAGCTGTGATAACAAACCTTCACTTCTTCCTCATCTGTTTTAAAAGTGGTGCACTCTGCTCCTTATCAATGCGTTAACAGCTGCCAACCAGTTAGCTAACAGCTGTCTGCGCGCAGCATGTTCATTCGCTCTTTCTACCATAATAACAGTCTACACATAGCCTTTCCCTCCTCATTCTTAAAACCCTCTAATCTGGGACATTTCCAGGGACAGTTGGTCCAATTATTCTGGTTTTTATATCCAATTGCCATCTCCGTGATTAACTGAATATCTATAAACATAGTGCTGGACATTAAAAACATGCAGAATGAAATTGAAATGTAAATCTTTGTTCAGCTACAAACTAGAGTTCATTTATATACAGTGAAGCCAAAGTTAGCTTAGCTAAAGTGAAGTTTTAAATTTAACAACCATTTTAAAACAAATGGCTACTGCTACCAGAACACATTCAAGATAATTAATGATGGCTTTATTAAAATTACTAGCAACGGTATGCATTTTTGAATGAAGTTGCCCACAATGGATTAAACATTTTACTCAAGTAAAAGTAGTAATACTTCTATGACAATACAGTTGTTTAGGGACTGGTAGTTCAAGATGATCAATGTTTATGCTTCTTTAAATATTGCAAATATTTCCATTCAGCCTTTTTTAATCAGATTCTGTTTGTTTAAAATCAGGGAAACCAATATGTTTCAGATTACAGCTAGGTTTATCTTCCAGCTGAACACCTGTCCTACCCATTTAGCTCTAATAAAACACAATAAGGTTTGTGTTTGCAATGTGATGAAGTGAAGAAAAGTGCACGAGGTGTGCATGAACTGCAAGGCATCTTGGGTGTTTGGTTGGGGAAGAGGTTCTTGCAAAATGAAAAAGTAAAGTCCAAGTGAGGTAACAAGAAACAGAGAGGAGGAAGGAGAGTAAGAAGAGGAAGTGGATATTAATCTGTTCTCATGAGGCCGTTTCACCTCCTCTGCCTCCATCCGTCTCCTCCTCCTCTCTGCTGCTCTAGCTCTGATTTGTGAGGCGCTGCCTTGGTCCGAGGGGGATAAGAGCGAGATAAACAGCATTTGCAAACAGAGAGTGGTGGGATTGGATACGGAGCAGGCCCCACTGTTCCTACTGATATTCTGTTTCTTCAGACTACAGCGCTCTCATCACAATGACAGGATAAGCCTGCACAGCTGCTGATTTTATAGTCAGTAATGAAATGGGGAAGGAAAAAATGTGGCTATAAAAGCCTCCTCTGGAATACGACATCTCGTCTGTTCCACCAGTTAACGCGCTGCTCTGACTGCTGTTTTATTACTTGGGTTTTTACTTTTCTTTCACTTTTTGTTTTTCCAGATTCAACAACAGAGATCTGGGGACCTTTCTTGGAGCTGCGATGGGACTCCATAAAGCCACAGACATAAGAAGTCTCCTCTGCAGAGCTTCTCAATCACCACAGTAGAAGACAGCGGAGAAGACCCGTTATCTGAAATTGATGCCAGCGGTGTTGCGGAGGCAGCCATTAGCTGCACCGCCAGATCTAAAGCTGCCCATGGAGGTGTGGCCCCGACGTTTCCAACACTGCTGCCGCTGGTAATGCCGGCCCGGTGAACAGCAATGCCTTCTAAGGTCTCCTGCTTGTACTTGTTGACAGTGGTATGCTGGGCCAGCGCTCTGTGGTACCTGAGTGTGTCCCGCCCTTCTTCTTCCTACGTGGGCCAAGTGTCGATACCGATGCGCAAGGCACCCAAAGTGAACAAGAACTCCACCTTTGGCAACATCCGCACGCGCACACTTAACCCGCACGACTTTGGCTACCTCATCAACGAGGCCAAGAAATGTGAGGCCGAGCCGCCTTTCCTCGTCATTCTGATCAGCACCACGCACAAGGAGTTCAACGCCCGTCAGGCCATCAGGGAGACGTGGGGCGACGAGTCCACGTTTCCTGAGGTGCGCGTGGTCACGCTTTTCCTGCTGGGCCGAAGCACAGATGCCGTACTCAACCAGATGGTGGAGCAGGAGAGTCAGATATTTCACGATGTCGTGGTGGAGGACTTTATTGACTCGTACCACAACCTGACACTCAAAACGCTGATGGGTATGCGATGGGTCGCCACTTTCTGCCCCAAGGCTCAATATGTTCTAAAGACGGACAGCGATATCTTTGTCAACATGGAGAACCTCATCTACAACCTCCTGAAGCCCACCACCAAGCCCAGGCGGAGGTATTTCACAGGCTACGTCATCAACGGTGGGCCAATCAGAGACATGCGTAGCAAGTGGTATATGCCCAGAGATCTCTACCCCGAGAGCAAATACCCACCATTCTGCTCTGGCACTGGCTACGTCTTCTCAGCAGACGTGGCTGAGCTCATATACAAGACCTCCTTGCACACCAGACTGCTGCACCTGGAGGACGTGTACGTGGGAGTGTGCCTACGCAAGCTAGGCATCCACCCCTTCCAGAACAGTGGCTTCAACCACTGGAAGATGGCCTACAGCCTCTGCCGCTACCGCCGGGTGGTCACCGTCCACCAGATCTCCCCTGAAGAGATGCACCGCATCTGGAACGACATGACCAGCAAGAAACACCTCAAGTGTTAGCAGATCGACTGGGCCAGCTCTCTGGATGCCTTCAGGGCTTTTGCTCTGCTGTGGAGGCACGACCAAAGCAAACTCCTATGGATTACTCTATTTGCCAAAACGTCAAGGTGTTTCAGAGCCAAGCAGAACCCTCTGGCGGTTATGTGTCCGCGCCAGCAGTGCACGGATTTTTCCATGACAGGAAGCGTAAACATGTGTTTAGCTCCTCATTTATACAAGGCACAGTCTGTCCCCAATTAGCAGGAGTGCAGATGAGCTAAACGCCAACAGACGCTCTGCTAGGCTCCGCCACTGGCTCTGATTCTGAATGTTCTTCATGCATTTGATGTATTTTCTGATCCAGCTGTAGTCATTGTGAGGACTATTGTGGAACTAAGACGCGATGACTTAATGTTTAAAGTATTATTGTGAGAGCATCACTGTTCAGCACAGATAGAGGTTTCATTTCCTGAAAGGTTAAAAGGAACATATCAGAGGGAAAAATGGCTGCTAGCATTCCCAGGTGAATGTTGATGTCTGATGTGTGAAGTGCAGTGGTTTCTTTCTGGCGGTGCTGAGAGACGTCTGCAAACTACTGTGTTTTTTATTACTTGAACATAGAGAGCAGGAGAACTATATACTGAGAACAAATCTTACTGTTTGAGTGATTTTCTTTTTTCCATTACTTGAAATTAAATAAATCTGTTTCATAAGATATTACGTCTTATTGGTTCTGCACAGTTTAATGCACATAACCTGGCAGTTAATATACGTTTGGTTTCCCTGTAGGAGTGAAAGCATCTAATTATGGCTGCTGCTCACTGCAGCTGCTGCTGAACCTTCCTCGTGCCTCTGGAAGCATTCCCGCTGTCTGTGCAGGTGGTGGACAAGTCAGGCAGACTCCACTGTGTGATTAAATCAAATCTGCAATGCATCGAAGAGGAATTACAGTACCTGTGCATAAGTATTTAAACGACAGTTTAAAACTAGAAATCTTGTGGGTTACTGGGATTTTATATTAAGATTTACACAAAGAAAAGGATAGTTGGAAAAGTGAAAGTTGAGTTTGACAGATTCAGGTTTTTCAAACCGTTGGCGATTCTTTTTTTAGAAAATGAAGGAAGCTGCGATGCATGTCTGCTGAAACCTCCAACTCTGATTTAAACATTAAATATGTTTCCCACCGGTCCTTAAAATCTTTTTTTGACAAAATAAAATGAAAGGTTACAAATTTCACATATATGGCGACAACTGATAATTACTTTTTTGTTGTTGTTGTTGCACGCCATCTTGGTGATGAATTGGTGAATGATGTGTTTAATTTGTTATCCAGTTGGCATGAGATACCATGCCTGGAAAATGTTTTTTATTTTCAGGAAAGCGCAGCTTTCCAATCGTAGCTGTCAAAGGACCCCAAAAAATTAACTTTCTGGGTTATTTTGTTTTTTTATTATTACTAGCTTGAGGCAGTTGCTAGAGAACTTAAAGGCCCCAGTAACCCCTAACTTTGCTATCATTAATTGTATCCATGTATCCATATATCATGAATTTCTTTTTTTAAATCAGCTGATTCAACAACTAATATCCCATTCAGTTTTGTATTGAATTGCATTCAGACTCTAAAACAAAATGTTATCCTTTATATTAGCGGTGGAACGGTTCACAAAATCCACGGTTCGGTTTGGTTCACGGTTTCGTGGTCACGGTTTTCGGTTCGGTTCGGTATATGTTGATTGTTAGCCTGACATGTTGGTCGTGTTGCTGTTAGCATAAACTAAACATGTTGCA